TGTCGACCGGTCGACACGCCGTCACGTGATTGTTCGGCGTTCATTTTTGCACTGACCTTTCATAGTTCCCCCGAGAAACCCAGAGCCGAGCTACTAGGAAAGCCCTCCTGCTCCAGCATACGTCACTGCATGGGATTCCTTCCCCGGGGAGTGCAAAGCGGGAATAAAAAAGTCTGCGGCTCTTCACTCGACGTTTATCCACAAACTGGTCCTGGATTAAGCTCCAAAGTTTTTATCAGTCAGATTCCACCGTGAAAAATGTCTGTTTTATCCCCTTTTATGAGTTTTTGGCCATTGACTATCTTTAAATCGCTGCTGCCTGGTCAACAGTCGGCTCTGGAAGCGATCGCTTTTTTCTTCTTTTTTTTTCTTCTTTTATTGAAGCGAGTGGTTGAAGCAAATGGAGCATAAGAGCCCCCTGGTGGCTGAAGAAAAAAATCCACGTATAAGCCGCACCGGACTATAAGCCGCATGGTTCAAAGTTCAGGAAAAAAGTCGCGGCTTATAGTCTGAAAAATACGGTAGTTAAAAAAATAACAATCAAACATTTGTGTTCCACCACACAATCTGCTGCTCTGGTAAAAAAAAAAAAAATAAACATGTACCCACCCCAATGCATGCTGTTCCAATACCATGGCACCTACTTATGAGTTTCCCAATTTAACCCAATATTTACAATTACACTATTGCAACAAATAATACTAACAAAATCTTTATACAAAATATTGTAACAAAAGGTAATCTTAAATGAATTAAAGAATAATTTCTTATGTAAAATAGGTTAAAATAGCTCCTACACAGAGTATTCAGTGAATGAACGTCTATACTGAAATACACTACTCACAAAAAGTTAGGGATATTCGGCTTTTGGGTGAAATTTCTGGATGAGCCTAAAATACATTTAAACTTTTACAGGTGAACTTAATGTGACCTTCTCTAAGCTTTTGAATGCATATATCCAACTGTTAAATGTTTCAGTTCTTTTTGCACTTTACTGTTTTCTAATGAGGAGCTTAACGGCAACATTCACAACAGGTGTTTGATCCTTGACTTGRCCAATAAATGTCCTGGTTCAATTAGAGCTGGTGTTTAAACAGTCGTCCTCATCATACTGTTCCCATTTTAACATTATGAGACCAAGACGACACCTAACAATGGATCAACAGTACCTTGCCATTGGRATGCTTCAAACAGGATGTTCTCAGACGGATGTGGACACTGAGCTTAGAGTGTCACAGTGTCATCAGCAGGTTGCAACAGAGATACCGAGAGACTGGAAGAGTCACAGAAAGGTGTAGAAGTGGACGTCCTTTGACCACATCCCATGCTGATGACCATTGTGAACAGTTACCTGAGAAACCGGATGATGAATGCCACTCAACTCCAGGCACGGTTAAGGGAGGTGAGAGGCACTCAAGTGTCACGTCAGACCATTCGAAACCAGTTACATCAGCGTGGTCTGCGTGCTAGACGACCTGCAAGGGTACCTGACCACACCACCTGGCACAGGCGTCATTGTCTTGCATGGGCCAGGGAGCATTTACGCTGGATGAGGGACCAGTGGGCCTCAGTGCTATTCTCTGATGAAAGTCGATTCACGATGAGCAGAAATGATGTTGGCCAGCCATGTTGGAGACGTCAAGGAGAGCGCTATGCATCAGCCACTGTTGTCACCAGACAAGCTTTTGGTGGTGGAGGTGTTTTAGTGTGAGCTGGTGTGTCCATTCGGCACAAAACTGCTCTACACTTTGTGAATGGTACAGTGACAAGCCCATACTACCTGAATAACAACATTAATCCAGTGATTGTTCCCCCACATGAACAACACAGGCCTGATTTCATCTTCATGGACGACAATGCTGCAGCTCATCGAGGTCGCATCATCAGGGAACGGCTGTTGGAGACTGGTGTACCTCAAATGGAATGGCCTGCACTTTCTCCAGACCAGAATCCCATTGAAAACCTGTGGGATCAGCTGAGTCGCCTTGTAGAGGCTCGAACCTCTGCACCGCAGAACCTGAATGACCTGAGGGCTGCCCTTCAAGAACAGTGGGATGCCATGCCCCAGTAGACAATAAGTCGACTTGTGAACAGCATGAGACGTCGTTGTCAAGCTGTAATTGATGCTCAAGGGCACATGACGAGTTATTGAGATGTTGAAATTTTTTGTTGTGGTGTACCTACCATTGTTGTTAACTTTTGTTTCAATAAATTGTTTGAGATGAGGAAATCACCAGTGCATTCTTTTACTTAAATGTCCTACTTTCATGATATGATATCACTGTAGCGTGAACGTTTTACATTTTCCATAAAATTCACCTGAAAGCCAAATATCCCAAACTTTTTGTGAATAGTGTAACTTTTGGAGTCCCCCAAAACCAAGATGGCTGCTACTGCGATTCAAGCTTGACCAACACAAAAACAGCTTGGTTATATTTATAGATACTGAGCTAAGGTTTGTGGTGGTAGTAAGTCATCCTTAACACACAGTCTGAGTGTTAACACATGTTTGAGTTTGCAGCAGCACAAGATATGACAAAAGCAGCTACAATTCTCTCATTTCTCATTAGAAGATGATTATTTTTTTTAACTAGCATAAAAAGTGGCATGCTTCAAAAATAAGCKAGACCTTTAATTTCAAAAATTTCTGTTAGAACTCTGTTTTGACACCTTACAGACCAGAATATAATCAAATGTTTTTATTTATAAATGTTATTCTACAAAAATAATTCAGGTAATAAAGTTGAATGAGGAAAATAAAGCTGTTTTTGAATATTTATGAAAAATATTCCAACAGAATAATGGTATCCGTGCATGGTTTCATCCCACAAAACTAAAAACCTGTTCCCACATTTGGCTGCAGTCTCCAGGATTCTGGACTTTTACTTGATCTTTCCAGAAACTTACYCTAGCAGAGTGTTCAGGGTCTTTGTCCTGCTGGAAGGTCTCAGACCAGAAAGTTCCTCTGGAGAGTTGTTCCATATTTGACTTTGTCCATGTTTCCTTTAACTTCACCACAACCTCTGCTGATGAAAACTCGGCTCAACCATGTCGTGGCGCACCGCCACGGCAAAATAAAGAACATAAATCATAAAAAAGTTCAAGAACTGCACATTAACACGGGCTGCACTCCACTTGTGCAGCATGTGGTTGTTGTGTAGAAGATGAATAGGAGCAGACACCCGCTTCGGATGTTATCATCCATGAAATGGACGTTATTAGGCATAATCAGTCCCCTAGAATGGCTTCAGAATGTCCCACCTGTGCCGGTTAGCAGGTTCCCCGTCCCATAGAATGGCTTCTGATTGTCAGCTGGTTAGTATGAGGCATAAAACCACTATCTGGTTAATATGAGACATAAAACCACTATCTGGTTAATATGAGACATAAAACCACTATCTGGTTAATATGAGACATAAAACCACTATCTGGTTAATATGAGACATAAAACTACTATCTGATTAATATGAGAC